ACGATTGCATGTGTATGTCAACACATCACTGTCGAATGCTTCTTTTATGCATGCAGGAAATGAGTGGTGGTGTATGAGTTGTGTGGTGACGGAGGAGGAGATTGCAGCCACGAAAGAGGTGGGAAATGATGATGAGGAGAAGTCTGCTCCTAAAGTAGATTTGCCTTCATTGCTGTGTGGTGAAGGACACAAGGGTGATGGAAGCAACAGGGAGATGTCTTCATCACCAGGAAACATTCTCATGGCGGCAATCGACATCTACATAGAGCCCTCCGAAAAGGTGTAGGCGATGAAGGTGATGAGTGCGGCGACAGATCGAACCCTGAGGGACATTACCAGCCCCAACTCGAAATACTGATGAGTGTCCTTTTAGCGTATGACATTTGTGCCCTTACTTCTGTTTGATGAGTTGTTGTGGCTTTTTTCCTGCAGGAAGTGCATCGGCCTTTGTTAATGCTCGTCAACATTTGCTGCTCTGCCTAAGTCCTAGTGGTTGCTTGAACCCGAAGTAAGTGGTGCGAGTGTGTCGCATGTCATGGTCATCGTGTAAGGATGTCTACTGAGAAATAGTCCAGTAGGTGAGATGTTGCTGTTGTTGTTGTTGTTGTTGTTCAAAAGTCTATTTCATAGATCCTCGTAAGTGTCAACTGTAATTAGCACTACGCACTGCTTTAACAACTCCTTCTTGCATCGCGTGAAGTGAAATTGGTTGGCTGCCATGTTAAGGATTGAGCACTCTTTCCGTAGTCTGCATGATTGTCAACCTTGATTGAAACGTTGCCTTTGCATTTGCTGAGACGCAGTACGAGTAGTGTGGGTATGCGCCAATTGAAATGTCAGCAAAGATTGTGCAAGAGCGTTTTCTGTGTAGAAACGAGGTGTTATTGACTTTGGGAAAGGGGGCGAGGTGATGAGGTGACAGCAGTAGTGGCAGCAGCAGCAGCAGCGACAGCAGGAGCAGAGCCAGCCGAGTTAGAGGGTGTGGAGGGGGAGAGTGGAATGAGAGGCGTCTTGGGTTGGCTGTCGATTGCTTGATAATGGAGGTGGTGGTGGTGGTGGTGATGTGCAGCAGCGGGTTAGTGGAGAGGTGGAAGTGACGGTGAAAGGTGAGCACCGCAAGTACATGTTGAAGGAGGCGATGAGAATGATGGGTTGAGAAGTGAGTGTGGAGAGAGTGACAAGGAGGGCATTGCAGAGCAGTGTAGATCTGGTCTCGTGGTGAGTGAAGTGGTACGTGGATGACAAAGTGCGCTCACCCATTTTGCATGGTGGTGATACGTTTCTCTTTTGTAGGATCTAACAGTTTCGCAGGCGGAGGGAGGAGTTGTTGAGGAAGGGCCAAAGAAACGGAGCGTTTTGGGTGATGGTTTGTGTGAGTTAATGCGATTCTCAAATCACTCAGCATGCTCACTTCAGGCGTACGCACATGCAATGTCGACCCGCTGCATTCCTCTTAGCGTTACACGAATGGGTCCGGACTGGCTGCCATGTTGGCCCTAGGGTGTAACAAGCAAGGAAAAGCTTGATTTGGCTTGTGCACGAGTTGCGTTGGATGAGAAAGATTACCATCTACTAGATGATATCAAAAGCACATCTTTAAAACCCTTAAACTGATTCGGTTTTGGTTATTAATTTGAATATCTAGTGAATGAGGTCTTATTTTTAGGGTGGTCCGTGAACTCCTTGTTGGAGGCCTTTACTTATTTGCTTGTTTTTGCCTTTAATTCTTTCTTTTCTGCTTTCTCGTACGTTGTTATATACTTTGTAATTATGTTTCTCGTTAGTAGCCAAAAGGAACCCGTTGCGACTGATGTCACATATTTGTGACGTATGCCTGATCTCAGTTTATATTAGCTTTTGTTGTAATTCCTCGTTTCTGGCAAATAATTTAGTTGGGCTTGATACTGCAAAACTGCTTATGACCTTCTTGGGCTAAAATTGATCGAGTGGTGTGTGTTAGTGTTCCGAGTTGAAGGCTTGAATGGTTAAGAGGACTTGATGGTGGGGAGTGCGTTGTGGTGGTCGATCGCCTTTAGACATTTTGATTATCTCCAACATGACGTGTGCTTATGTCTCAATAAAGGCGAAAATAATGCCAACCAAGCGTTGACTCGTTGCTCAGGGATCAAATCAGCGGACGCCTACACGTAGGTGTAAGCAAACGCGTTTGCGATGTGAGAATGCAGTTGTGAACACGGTGTCGGCATCGAAGACGACATTTTCTCGAGGCCTAATCCCTTCATTACACTGTTGGGTGGTCACCCAAGCTGACACCACTTCCTACGATGGACATTAAAATGTTGGCCGAATTAGGTGTTCACGGGGGAAATTGGACTACATCTATCCAATCCTTGCTGGAGTCGCATTGGTGGTGGCACAACGTTTGCTGAATAATAACAGCTTAACGTTGTCTGTTGGCGTGATGACTTTTGTGGAAGATGGCGATCAGTGTTAGGTGGAGGAGCGTAGGCGGTGAAGGTGAAATGGTGCCTATTGTGGATTGAAACCAGTCACTTACTGATTCCGCAAATTCGATTGCAGACTCTCTCAGGCCCCATTTGTCACAACTCTGATGTTGTGTTCGTTTGGGCAGACGTTGTAGTAGCCTTGCAAGTGGAAAGCCGCTCTAATGTAGAGGCGAAGGCAGTGGAAGAAGACTAGGCGTTTGAGTGTGGTCTTGCCTCAGGAAATGCTGGTGACCACTTGCCACCACGCCCTATGTGGTCGGCACAAGTCAGAGCACAATGAGATAAGCCAGTCATACAGCCGAAGAAAGTGTGACCAAGCGGGTCACACACATGGGATGGGATGCAATGTTCAAATTCTGGCATCTAGGTGGTCGCATTTTTGCATTTCGTGACATCGTGCTTCACAGGGTTGAATAAATGGGAATAGATTGTCATACATGCCACAGGGTTGAGGAGAAGCAAACAGCTACGCCTCCAACCAGCCAACAGCCGTAGCTTAAACTGGACGAGATTCGCCATTCCGCGTAGTTACATTTACACCTGAAGCTATGATTTTCAAGGAGGTACTTCTAAGTCCCGATCCCAGTCTCATGCACACTGCCATTACGCTGGGCAGAGCGTGTTTCTGAGAGATGTGCTCTCCACCTTTCCTGAAGCGTCTAAGAAGATGCTCTGGGAAAAATTTGGTAGTCGTCGTCACTTAACGCTGTTGGGAAAGCGTTTGACAGGTTACCTGTTATGCATGTTTGGCAAAATGATTTGCAAATCCCAGTTGCTGGTGGTGGGGGAGGTGGTGTCATATGTGACAATCCGAGTCCTTGCATAAATTTGTTCGACCAAGTTGGATGGCACACAAGCTAACATCGATGTGGATGATATCATGACAAAAGGATAAGTGACCGCGTGGAGGAATTAAAAGATGACGGTGGCAACTGCATGATCGTTCAGTTTGGTGTGGACTTCTACTTGGCGTACCCTATTGCAGATATTTTCCACCTTATCTACAAAATTTGTGGCAATTATCAATGTAGGTATTGTGCCGTCAGCTAATGACTCTCCCGCCATTCGTCCATGGAATGTTGGTCTGTTTGAAAGGGACTGATCCACATTTCAAGCGTATCACGTGGCCCATTTCTAAACTCTTTGTGACACTTGTAGGGTAAATATACAGTGAAGTGATTGCTGTAGTCTTTTCGAGAACTTCGAGGGCTGTTGTCAATTTAGGAATAGGTGAATGAGGAGCTGCTTTAGGGAGGGTGGGGATGGTTCGAAGAATAGCTAAGTGGTTAAATAAAGGCTTTACTGAATTACTATGCACCTAACAGCGTAGGTTAGGGTTAAATAATCACATTTAGGTTGGCGCAAATCCAAGTCCCGTTACTTCGCACTATGTTCGACGATTCCAGTGTGGATGATTTAGTATCCACATCTCTCGTAACAACAAACGTTTCTTCTTCCTTTTCATCACAGCAATTTAATGTGCATATCATCAAGTTGTTTTAGGATTTGTCCATATTCCTCCATTGTTTCGTCCTTTTTCCTGTCTGCCCTGTCCATCATCCCCTTACACATGCCATTGTACATCTGCTCCAAATTTTTCCGCATTCGTTCATAGTCCTGTATTTTAGCTTTCTCTTCCATGTCCACCCACTTTATCATCTCCTCACACATCCTAATCAGTTCTTTCCTATGCTCCTCTGATGTCATTTGCTTCACCTCCTCGCTCTCCACTTTACCTTGTGTGGTGTAAATGCAGTCCACTAACACATTCTTCACTGCCATCCTACTCCTCTCCTCCTCGTCCTCCAGCTTCATCTTCTTCGCATCACTTATCATTCGTTCTATCTCCTCCTCTGACAGACCAACTTTGCAATCGTT